GAAGAAGAATCCCTGAAATGAAAATAAAACCAAAGGAAACACATTCAAGAGTTTTTTAAATAACGATACTGCCCCTCTCTCTCTCCCTCTCTCTCTCTCTCTCTCTCTCTCTCTCCCTCTCTCTCTCTCTACCCAGGATGAAGTACATATGGACGGGTCATATGTGTGCGGTGGCGGCCTACGGCGTGTGTGGGACGGAGCTGTGGACTCTGCTGCTCAACGCTCTCCGCTGCAACACTAAAGTTCTGGTACGATTAACAACAGCTACAAAGATCTGCTACGCTGTTTTTCCTTTTTCTTAACTTTAATGTTTACAAGTATGAACTGTAAAATGCACACAATAACTTTTTTAAAGTTGTCTTGAGCTGGCTACACACAAGACGATTTTAGGCCCAACTTTGAGCTCAACTATCAGGGGGACGTGGTCCGATCAGCGGCTTGTCACAACTAATTATTTGTCCAAATAATCCTCAAGTGTGTGGTGTCATTATGATTATTTTACAGCTCCGTGGTCTCCCCTATTTTTAAAATCATGTAGTGCAATGATTTGAATGAGTCTATTCAACTCTGTTCAGGGGAACACATTTTCAGAAAGCGAAGGAACCGAGGGTCAGAAAAGCAACTCCACCACAGCAGTTCTATGTGAAAGCTGTTTTTGAGATGAGCTTGTGTTATGCTGCAAGCACAGGACCAAAGATGTTCTATTAAACAGGAGCGCTGTGCTGTTTTTAACACTTTACTGTGGCAACAATGACAGTCATTCACATGTTTTCCCCCCGTTTATAAATGTACTTTTTAATTGTAAATAGAACTGATCTGCGGGCCAGTCCGATGTCATATGCGGACCAGAGTTAGCCCCTGGGCCACCAGTTGATTAGGCCTGATGTCGTGTTTAGCCAGCTTTAGTCTAGATGTCTTTCTATTTGATGCTGATTGATGACCCGTCCTGAAGAGAATGAACTCTTTACTCTGAAACTTACATGCAAAAGAAAACCCAGAGGTAACAGACTGTGATGGTCTGCATAGATACATATTACAGCTAAATGGTAGAGTTGGTTGCCTCTCAACCGGGAGGTCAGGGGTTCGATCCCCAGCTCCTGCAGCTACATACTAGCCCAAGCTGCTCCAGCTGCTCCGTCTGCTCCAGCTGCGGCGTGTGAATGTGTATGAACGGATTAGTGGACATACTGATGGACTCTTTACATCGCAGCCTCTCAAGCTCGAGTCCATTTACCTTTAAACATCACACACTTTGTTAGAGTTCAGACTGCAGAGAAGCTCATTGATCATGATTTATTAAAGATTAAAGAAACTGTTTACATATAAGGTGTTACTGATTCTGTCCTCAGCCCCTCTCAACATGAAACAACATTTATCCCCATGTTAGTAAAATGTTTTTCAGTGTTTGATTGAGTCAACAACTATTTAAATACAGATACATATCTACAGCGTCTTCTTATCACAGCTCTGAATAATGTTTCTGAGAAAGGGTTCGGTTATTATTTCCTTCTGATTATTAAAGGACGAGATTTAACAGACCTTTTCTCAGAAACCAGATTTTAATGACGATAGTTTGGCCAGCTTTGTTTTTAACGTTTCAGTCGTGCAACAGAAGAATCTCAATGTTTGACTTTCATATCATCCTGTATACGTTTCCATAGTTTCAGGAATTGAATCATGGTTTTTTATTACTGAACACTTACATTTATTCTAAGATGTCATTTTAAAACGTAAAAGGATTTGTGACTTAAAAAAATGTATATATTTATATGTGTGGCTTTATATCTCATATATGTTCATATTTGTGTTGAAGACTATTTTCACACCTCTGTTGCTCACCACTCGTCATATCGGTCCTTCTGATCGAGAATAAGAGTCTGATAAAAAGTTTAAGTTGTTAACTTTCGTTTTTCTTAGCTTAGCTGAACAGCCAATCAGAGTGAATCCTCTCACCAACCATGCCGACACCGATTCAACATTTCGAACCGTCCAGAAAAAAAAACAGACGAGGGTCGACATTGCTTGGTGTGTCAGGACCTTTAGACGCACTTTTAGTACCTTTTTCTCCCCTTGAAGGTTGTCTACAAAATGTCAGAATCAAAATGCTAACACATGCTCCGCCATGACACCCAAGTGCGTCTGCCACCATCGCCCTCTGCAAGCAACCTGACGTGATTGGAAATTGTCAATCGTTGTGTATTACGAGCGTGAAAGAAGTGCTGGATGTGAGCAGGATTGCAAACTGCATGTGGTGAAAAAAACAGATGGTAGCTGCACAGCTGCAGAGGAAGCTGCACGCTGTGGCTGATTGAATGGAAATCCTCACATACAGTAGGATAACATTTTTAAACATATTTTCCTCTGGGAGAACCTCAAAACGCAGACTGCGTCTTATTTACCCGTGCAACTTACATATTTCAGATTTTACAGTAGGGGCCTTGAAAGTAGGATTACTGATGTAACCTCGCTTTCTATTTTTAATTCTGCTTCCATGCATCCAAAACGCAACACCTTGCAGTAGCTTGCAAACCCAGATTGCAAAAAAGTCAGACACCAAGTCTACACATACAGACAGCCATAACACCAACATTATACTTTATATTGTAGCAGCCTTCAAGGGCAGCGCATTAGTCTGTCTGATCGCTTAACCTGAGGGAATCTGTAAAGGAGTTTTCTTTTCATCTTTTTGATCATTCTTTTTTCTTTTTTTGGGGGCTAGCAAGTAATTTTATTTTTTTGCAGTACAGCTGCAGGATAAGTTCTTTATTTTATTTTTTTTGAAAATATATTTATTGCTTTTTTAAACATAGAAAATACAGACTAAACAAAAAACAGCAGAAATGAAAATAAAAACCTACCCCCACGCCTTTTTAATCGTTCTTTTTTCTTTTCTTTTTTTCGGGGGCTAGCAAGTATTTTTTTTATTTTTTTGCAGTACAGCTGCAGGATAAGTTCTTTATTTGTATTTATTTTTAATATATTTATTGCTTTTTTAAACATAGAAAATAAAGACTAAACAAAAAACAGAAGAAACCTACCCCCACGCCTTTTTGATCATTCTTGTATTTGACCCTGAAGGTGATCCGTCTCCCTGCTTCATGTCCAGTTTGTATTTGAATCCACAGCCTCTGCTCTGCTCTCGTGCTGACATGACCGCTGAGGCCACTAGGTGTCAGTGTGGTCATAATGTGCCATCAGCATGAATCAGATAAGAGCAGAGACTTGTGAACAACTTTTGCTCTGCTTTGTTTATCTCTGTGTGTTATCTCATTCTGTGTTTGTCTTCATTTTTAAGGTATATCTCAGTTTGACGCCCGCCGCCGTCTCTTGCCTCTGATACGATTATATATTCTCTCATTTCATTACTGCTGTTTTCTTTCTCTCATTTTTGCAGCTGAGGCTTGTCAGATACGCCGTCCCAGTGGCCATGATCGCCTGCCTGTATTACAAGGTATGCCATTTTACTCGCTGCGTTATGTTCATCACCGTATTGACGGCCTCATTACAGAAGCTGACGCCGCTTTGAACAAAGTGTGTGCAGCAATATGAGAACAGGGAAAATGTCTGGGAAGAAAATGATAAAAAAGCAGCTGGATCATAACAGGATACCTTCCCCTTTTATTTATTTTGCCATTTGAAAAGTCTAAACGGCAGTCACACATGCTGTTATGTTCAGTGCAATGATGAGGTGTTGTTAAAGAAGCATCAGTATGTCTGCGGCTCTGCAGTCTTAACCCGTGTCTCTCTCTGTTTCTCTGCAGTTCTGGCCCAAGCTGATGGAGGAGGTCTCAGAACTGAGGGAGTTTTATGATCCAGACACTGTGGAGCTCATGACCTGGATTAGGTACATGCACACACAAACACCCACGCATGTAGCCACACTGGTCTCCAGAGCCTCCACCAAAATCTGATTAACTTGTTCCTGCAGATCAAGTTTCACTTTGCCTGCTGTCCTTGATGAGTGCGTGCATGTGTGTACTCGTGCGGGGGAGTGAGTCTCTCTTATGTGTGATGAGAGCTGATGGGTTTGCATGAGGAAGACTCGTGCTGGAATGGTCCCAGCTGTTGGCAGAGCCGCAGCCCTCCTCGGGGTGTCTCTGCAGCCGGGCTTTCGATCAAGAGTCGGCAGTACCGACGTGATCGGGGATGGAGCTGGGAATTGGAACGGCTCCGTGCTGCGGCTGCTGTGTGTGTTTTTTTTTTTGTGTTTGCACATCTGTGTGTGTCTGACATTTTCCAGTCATCAGGTTGGACGTGGGGGTGTCCGGGGTCCTGTTGGTTTAACAGTGTATGGAACATACCCATGTGATATTGTGGTGATGCGACCACAATATCTGGCTACAAGGACACATCATATTTCTTGTTTCTTTTGTGTTGAGTTTCCCCGCTCAAATCAGAGTGGTGACGAGAGTATCACTGGATATGATAGACCATCTTAAAGAATGAGAGTTAAAAACAGTACTCACACAATGCTCAGTATTAGTAAATATAATCAAACGCCATCAAAACTGAGCATCAGTGAGGAAAAACTGAAGTTGCATCATTTCAAAAACTGTATTTCTTCTCACCCATCAGGACGTGAAACACCAAAAAATTCTGCACAATCTTTGCAATCTACATAATTTTTGTTTTTCTTATTTTCTCATGACGACCACCACTTCTTCCTCTTCAGTTCACAGCCACTTTGGAATGAAAGAATGAAACCATGACTTCATTTACTTCATCAATCAGTAAAAAAAGCTCTGCGATTGTATCGCCTTAAGCTCGTGGTATCAAAAAAACAAAAGTATCAGACGTGTTGACAACTTAAAGGTCACATATTCTCCTCCTCACTAACATGTCTCAGAGGTCCCCAAAACATCTCTGTGAAGTTTCTTGTTCTAAATCCACTCGGATCATTTAGGAAACCACAAAAACAATCACCCAAACAAGTCAATGAATTTTCACCACAGAGCTTTATAAAGATTTAAATGTCATAGCAGTGATGTTAGCAGTGTGCCCTGCTTGTGTTTAAATATCAACTCCATTCATAAATCTAAAGTTACAAATTCTAATTAATCAAAATATGACTTGACACCGACATCGTCCAAATCCGACTACTTTACCCGACTTTATTGCTGTTACAACACATCAGTCGCAGCGGCCATCTTGAAAAATGTTTTTTTTTTCCAAATAGCAATTTCCAAGAACTGTGAATAAGAAAGATAAAATCAACCTATTATGTCTTCGGCATAATAATGTGTCTATCGCTGATAAGAAAATATATCTGATAACAGTTGGTTTTGCATGGGCGCCATAATGAAAATTCACGATGCCCCACTGCGGTGGAAATTCCTTCCCCACAGTTCCGAGGCAAAATGAATCCTCAATGATGGTAAAATAATTGTCAGTAAATAATGTAAAATGAAAATAATGAACGTTTTAGTTTGCTTTGGCCCGACAGAAGAGCGATCTTTTAAAGATCTGCTTGTTTCATAAAGACATCAAAAGATCAAAGGATGTAATAAGCACATGTTGAAGGTTGTTGTGGTCATAATGAATTCATCATACTTGCTCATTTGCATCTGTTTAGAGTTTGTAGTGTGTGAGAGGGCTCTGCTTCATTGATACAAACCGCTCTGAATGCAGGAACCCTTTATTCATGAACTTGGTGCTCAGTCTTGAGGTGCACAGTTGCCCCCCCTCCCTCATTCCCCCGCTGGCCTGCACTCACACTGCTCCAGGACTAACCGGGCCACAGTTACCTCGTGTCGCCTACATAACGTCGTAATACAACACCGCACACCGGAGAACATGACATCTGCTTTACTGACTTTGAGGCTTGTTTTGAGTAATTTAAGTCAGAAACAGCCAGAACACTACGGGATTTCTCATCAATGAAGGCTGTCCACGTTGTGTAGCCACGTGCCTGTGCTCGTGAATGAACTGTATCGTGCAAAAAACTCAAATCTCAGCAAGTGTTTTTGCTTTATTACACTTATTCTTAAGACAGGTTCATCATCTAATTTCAAGACACAAAGTATTTTTGCTGTATTGGCGATTATTTACTTATTTTAAGCTATTCAGGCCCTTTTTTTGCTTTTTCTAGCTAAAAGTAAAGTGTTTATTTTGTTAGATGAATGTGAAAAAACGTTGAATGAGATATTTTTCACTAGAAATGAGACATAGACACGTGTTAAGGGTGATGAAGATTTTGCAGGGAAGTGGCTGAAGTCTTCTTTTCCCAACCAAAGCAAGCCAGAGCAGGATGATCTAAAGGAGGTTACAGATGCAGCAAGCTGGTATATCAATCTGCCGTCAGTGTCCACGTGTTTTCATCATCTTAAAGGGGACATATTGTGACAAATCCACTCTTACACTGTTTTTAAACATATATTTGGGTAACCTGAGAGTCTACTGACCCACAACATGTGAAATAAACCCATCCAGTCCTTTGTTTGTGTCTGCATAAGAGAAAAACGCTCCATTTCAAATGTGCTCTCCTTGTGATGTCACAGTGGGATTCTGGTAAAAGAAATCCCTTCCCCTGGTGTCTCCACCCATGGACTCCACCCCCAGCCTACAACAAAACGTTTGCGCAGGTCTGCCATTTTTGTTCTCGCTACAGAGGAGTGATGTCTACTGGGAAAACTCAGGGGGGGGGGGTCATTGTATTTAAAGAGACACACACACCAAAACGGAGCGTTCTGAGAGAGCTGGTTTATACAGGGTCACAAACCTCCTCTGGTGCTTGATTCATGTTATATTTTGACGAAAGCACAGCACAGATGTTTCATTTAGACCACAGAGGGACTGTTTGAAAAGGTGGAGGAGGGGGAGAATATGTCCTCTTTAAATTCTCTGCAAGATCTTTGAAAAAACGGCTTTGATAAACAGCCACAAAACGGCTAATTCATAGCATTAGAGGCTAATTTAGAACCAGTTCAGATTTGGTCTTTCGCAGAGATAATCACTGTAGTCCTCTTGTACGCTTAATAATCATAATCCAAAGCTCATTATTTCTGTCCTCTCATCAGCAGCGTGATGACACTGAGTGGACCAGATGTGATGTTTAAGAAAAAGGCCCATTTTTAGTTTAATCCTATTAGACAGATAGAGGAATGGCTCAGAGAGAGAGAGAGGGAGGGAGGGAGAGAGGGAGGAGGATAGATAGCGGCACGGAGGAGGAGAGGTTTGGATTCTGAATGTACTTGTGCTCGTGACATGGGTTCCCTTCCCTCCGGAGCTAATCCCATTAGGCTCCGAGGATTAGGGGGCTGCCTACAGTTACCTTGGTCGGGGATGAGAGCAGGGCGGAGTGTTAAGCTTCTTGCTGCTGCGCTAATTACATTCCAGATGAAAGTGTTATGGTGGCAGAGGGAGGGGGTGGGGGGGGGGGTCATTTTGCACTGTATTCTCTATCTCGCTGAGGTTTATGGTTTTGCATGTTGAAATCTCAGGACATTCTCAAACTGTTTTATAGTGACACACCAGATGAATATAGAAGAGAGCATATTTCTGTGCGGGCAGCGTGTTTGTGTAAAAGCTGTCAGGGACCCGTTGTGGTAATTCTCGCTGCAGGGGATGTGTGCTCTGTGTATGATTCATGTATGACTAACGAAGGATGCACATGCTCAGGAAACAGATTGAATGAGGCTGAGGTCAAATCAGAAGAAGAAGAAGAAATACTGATCTTTGTTGTTTTCCTATTTCTGTCGTTAAGATGATGTTGGATGAACATTTAAGACGTGTCACTTTGACTTATCACAGTCGTTCCTCACAGATTATTTTCAGTATGAGTCTGTTTAAGGTGAGAGAGAGAGAGAGAGAGAGAGAGAGAGAGAGAGAGAGAGAGAGAGGACAGATGTGCTGGCCTCATGAGTTTAGGGATGTCTCCTTTTAAAAGTCTGTGACTCTAAATCATCAGACGAGTGGACACAGTGTCTCCTTACACTTTGTCAGTCAAGTAAAATAAAGACTATGTGACCTACGTTACCTTACCCACCGCTCCCCTTGTGTTCCCGTAGTTCACATCCTCCCCGCCTGGTGGCACCAGGTGTGTGGCTGTTGTTCCGCCTCATCTTTACTGTTGCTGAACCCTGAATCTGCATAGTGCATTTATAAAGACAAGTTTAGAGCTCACACTTAAATCCCTAAAGAGAGACGCAGGTGACTTTATTAACCCTCGAAGGGAGACTCAGTTTGTTGAATTTTATTGATAATTGTCGATTGTTCATTTTTCTGTTTTTTTCTGGGTGGGAAGGTCGGGGTTGGTGGGTCGATTCAAATTAGAAATCAAGTTTGATTTGGAAAATAAAAAGTGAGATTTACTTTAAAGGTCATATGATCCAGCCCTAGCTTGCGTCACCAGATACAAATCACTGCAGGAGTAAGGACTTGTGTCGCCCCTTGTCTTTTTTAAAAAAATTTTATTGTCTTTAATTAGGAGAGTGTCCAGCGTCTTTTTTCAAGGTGCCTCGCCTTTTTTTGTGAGGCCGCTGTGAGCTTCGAGTTGAAAATCTTTCAACTTTTCAGAAAGGCGCTGTTGACGTCACTGGCGCTCTTTTCAAAATATCTGATATTCCCCGTAGTTTTACCCCCTACTGGGTGTGTTGTACCCACGTCCTCTTTGCTCCGTGTCAGATCGGGACGAAAACCATCTCAAATAAAAAAATTACAGTAAAAAGTAACGAAGCAGTGTGGGTCATACGGCGGACGTTGTCAACAGACGGTTGTCATAGAGATGGGACAGGTGTGCAGCGCTTCATTCTCACAGCCCTTGTCTGCTTCCTTTAGTGTTCACAATGTTTTGACCAGAAGCTGAATTAATATCCCGTCTCAGACTGCTTCATTAAAAGCTGTTAA